GCAGCCTTTCTCTGCTTTAACTAACCTTGCATTTAACAGCCTGAGGAAGACATCCTGGCTGCACTAACATCTTCTAATACAACAGATCTCTAATCAATATCTATCTAACTAAGAAATTACCTAACAGAGCTGCGTTGACCAATCGTGCAGGGGACGATCAGGACATATACGCCCACGAGACAAAGACTCTCTTGTTTACCTTGTTAGCATGAGAGCACCCACTGCTGTTCATTGTCGAATTTGGGTCGTAGTTAACGCACCATAACACGCCTTGTGTTTTCATTAGTTGGGGTACTAGATGCTAAACAGTGCCATCATACATCAGTGCCAACACACTGGTGGTAGAAATTGGTAGGCTAAATTAGAATAGGCTACGTTAGCAGCATGAAAACTCCCAGGCTGAAAACATGAATTAAGCCACTCGCATTGACTCATCACAGTGTGTACAATTGTACACAATTCTACAGCAGCCCCTTGTGATAAAACACAGCGCAAAGACGTTGGATAAAAGGGAGTAGGTAGCTCTTGTGTCTGAGTTCTCCTGGGAAGAAATCTATAAGAAGACCAAATGTCTTGGGTTTGTTTGAGTTTCTCAAACTTTGTCTGAGGGCAGGGTGCCAAGTCAAAGATTGTGTATTCCAATTGTGAGTAAAGTCAAGAGGAGAGGGGGAGGATCTCTGTGGAGACAGTCTGATTAGGATAAGTATCTGCTGTTAAGAGGTAAATGGGAAGGGGAGGTTACATTAGCATACAGAGGCTTTGTTGGGTGTCAGAATTTTCTCTCCTCCTCAACACCTGGAAATCAAAGTTTGGTCATTTAGTTACTGATATTCTGATCTCATCAAAGTGGAGGTGGGGCTACATCAAGGATCGGCTTTGAGTCCCTTCTTGTTTGCGATGGTGATGGACAGGTTGAAAGATGAGGTCAGACAGGAATCTCATGGACAATGATGTTTGTGGATGACATTGTGATCTGTAGTGAGAGCAGGGAGCAGGTGGAGGAACACCTGGAAAGGCGGAGGTCTGCTCTGGAAAGAAGAGGAATGAAAGACAGTTGTGGTAAGACAGAATACATGTGTATGAACGAGAGGGAGGGAAGTGGAACAGTGAGGTTACAGGGGGCTGAGGTCAAGAAGGTGCAGGAGTTTAAGTATTTGGGGTCAACAGTCCAGTGTGATGGGGAGTGTAGGAAAGAGGTGAAGAGGCAAGTGCAGGCGGGTTGGAGTGGGTGGAGAAAGGTGTCAGGAGTGTTGTGTGATAGAAGAGTGTCAGCAAGAATCAAAGGAAAGGTGTACAAGACAGTAGTGAGACCAGCTATGCTGTATGGGTTAGAGACTGTAGCAGTGAGGAAAAGACAAGAGGCAGAGATGGAGGTAGCAGAGATGAGGATGTTGAGGTTCTCTTTAGGAGTGACCAGGATGGACAGGATTATGACTGAGCACATCAGAGGGACAGCTCAGGTCTGCTGGTTTGGAGGACAAGGTCAGAGAGGCCAGATTGAGATGGTTTGGACATGTGCAGAGGAGGGATAGTGGTTATATTGGTAGAAGGATGTTGGAGATGGAGCTGCCAGGCAAGTGTTCAAGAGGAAGGCCAAAGAGGAGATATATGGATGTGCTAAAAGAGGACATGAAGTTAGTTGGGGTGAGAGTAGAGGATGCTGAGGATAGAGTTGGGTGGAAACAGAAGATTCACTGTGGTGACCCCTAACGGGAACAGCCACCAGAAGAAGAAGATTCTGATCTCATCAAAATGAGTCTTTCCCAAATGATTTTCTGGCCTTCCCTTGGTGATGATAAATTTATTTGGTTTTCTTAATTGTTAGAAGCCAAAATTGTAATTAAAAATAAAATTCAATTAATTGACCAACCCTGTTTTCCACTGTACTTTTTCACCATTTCTGTCACTTGTTTACACAAGGGTGGGGATGTGCTCTTCACACAGCAGAGAACTTTAAATCAGCAAACAAAATGCTTCATCATTTCTGCAGCCAAATCTGCCAATTATGCAGATTAAGTTAGCAGTTTGCCAAAAATCTGTTGAACAAGCAGAACACAAACTTTCTGAAATCTGTCATCTTAACTGCTTTGCCCGTGGTCAACTTGAAGCCCTTGTGAAAACCCAGTGATTCTCAGGCAGGAGCTCTCCAATTTCTGCCCTCAGTAATGCATACAGAGTTGCACTTTGGGCTGCAACTTGTGCCCCATTGTTTAGGCTGTATTTGTTTAGGTTTTGGAACATTAAGGAGCATTGGGGAGCAGCAGGTGAGGCTGGGGAAAACCACATCCAGCACCCAGACAATAAGCACAGGCGCCCCCAAGGGATGTGTCCTCTCCCCTCTGCTGTTTTCACTCTACACCAACGACTGCATCTCGAAGGACCCCTTTGTCTCCTAAAGTTTGCAGATGACACAAAGATCATTGGTCTCATCCGAGACGGCGACGAGTCAGCCTACAGTCGGGAGGTTGAGCAGCTGGTCCTGTGGTGTAGCCGCAACAACCTGGAGCTAAAAATGCTC